AGCGGGGGGGGAGGAGAAAGCCGATGGCGGCGAGGCCCGACTCGGGGAGCTGGACGAGCTTGTTGAAGCGGATGGGGTCGGCGGCGGGGTCACGGAAGGCGATGGAGGCGGCCGCGGGGACGATGATGGTGAGAAAGGCGAAGGCGAGGTAGGATACGAGCCGGCCGGTGGTGGAGGAGTGGTCTAGGAGGCACCATTTGAGGGAGATTCCGAAGTGGCGGAGCTCGTCGGATTTTGATGATGATATGTGGGAGTATGAGGGCTGGAGGAGAAAGGGGACGTTGGTTTGGTTTGGAGAGTAGCCATCGGAGGATAATGATATGCGGCAGCGGTTTCCGGTGAAATCGTCGGCGATGTGGGTCTCCGGTGGAAGGATGGTGGTGGAATTCATGAAGTTCTGTTTCTTGGGTGAAGAGGGGAATGAGAGCGATCATGGATATGTTTATATACACACCACATACATGAGGCTGTGCATGGATGTGTGTATAATTAAATTAAGTTGTAAGGTATTTATTTATTTTTATCTATCACCAGTATAGTTGATATTTTGAAATATTAAGTTGAAATTGTTAACCGCGAGTGTGATGGTCTGGCAGTAAAAAATTATTTTATGTAGTGCATTTAGTGGAGTTAAGGTGACGGTTTTTCAATATTGAAGTTTACCGATTTATTGGCCTTCGACGAGCATTCTTATTAACATTTTAAATTCTTAGACTCAATTGTATATTTAGTATTAAAAAATATGATATAGTATGTTATTTTTAATTTTATTTTAATGCGTAATGTTATTTAAAATGTTAAATCTACTTTTTCTTATAATTATTAAGCTTTAGAGGTTGTAAAAGTAAATTTTTACTTTTAAAATAATTAAAAAATGCGAAAGTTGCATTGATTATATTGAAAAGTAAATATTTCAACCAATAGTAATCAAATGTCAAATTTCCTATATGCTATATTTGATAAGAAATTTGCCACAAAATGTAGCATATAGGAAATTTAATACAACAAATAACATTGTATTGGAAAGTATTTTTTACACTCAAATATTAAATTTGTAATTGACATATTAATTATAATATTGCATTGAAAATGCTCTTAGTATAGCTCTTAAAGGTATTATGCTAACACCGATGAAAAAAAAAGGTGTAAATTTTTTCTTATTACTATTAATAATATTTGATTTTAACATATATTATTTGAGAAACAATTATAGACTAACTCAAGAGTTTTCGGCATATGTTTACAGCCGTAGAAAGGAAGCTTTTCTAGTTGTGAAGAAAGCAACGTCTTTAATGGAAGAATTTAAGACATTGCTTGTAATTTGGACTTCACTATGATGCTTTTAATTTAGTGAGTTAATTAATTCTTTTCTGAGAATAACAGAGAAAAGCAAATAAGAGAAAGGAAAATTAATCTTACGAAACACATGCTTGGTTGTTAATTGATTTAAAGCATTTGAGTACACTTGTTTTTTGGAATTCTTTAGTACTACTACTAGCTTCTAGGTAGTTGTTTTACAAGTTTTTTCTTGACCGAAATTCCTATATTTGCACCGCCAAAAAATTGTTTATATAATAATGAGGAAGCGATATACATAATATACTTAATGTCAGGCGAATAACGTGAAATAAAAATTCGAAACTTACGAATTTCTCTGTAGAAACTTCAAGTTCATGAATTCAGTTACTAATTTTGTATTTTGGCATGGAAAGAAAATTGATTATTTTTTAATGGAAAACAATAAAGATTTGAAGACTGAATAAATCACTAATTATGGATCCCACATTTCCGAAGGAAAATAATGCTTCTATTATTTTGACTACAATAAAATAACAAAAAGATTACAATTTACAAGAGGATGACAAGCCCAAAAGGATTTTATTTTAAATCAAAAGTCGGAAAAAGAAAAAAGAAAAAAAGAGGAAGTACCTTTGCTTTCTCCCGTGAGGGTTCTGTTGTTGCTTTCTACTAGAGGTTTCGGTGAAGTGAAGAATAAAGGTTTGCTTAAGAACCATTGGTCGCTTTTATATTTTCCATGACACATATATTTATCATATTCGTTGCTTCATGCTTCCAAATAATATATATACCTCGGAACAAATATTATTTTAAAACTGTTGTATTTATGATTGTTTGACAATTAGAAGGATCTGATCTTCTCGGGAAGAAAGAACTTGGGATCATTACCTTATCATGTCTAATCTAAATTTGGTTTTTACACCTTATGATCTTCAGTTTCACCTAGCTATTGATTACAAAATATCTGTAAATGAAATACAGATGAAATAATTTAAATGCAAGACTAAATTAATATTCGATCACGTACTTTTGACATTTTTTACTAAGGATTATTATTATCATCACTATTATTTTTGTTGCTGATCTCTAGGACTTTAAAATCTTGTCATCATTTGAGGTCCGTTCAAAGTAGATATGCTAACGCTGGTCAGCCTTTTTCAAGAGGTCCGAACTTTTTCTTAAAAAAAAAACAAAAAGTGTCTTTAAGGGAGTTGAATACGTGTAGTTGCTTTGCCAGTTGTGATGTTGATAGATAATGAGATAGAGACACGTGGACGAGTGGACGGTTGTGGGAGGCCACTCACATCACGGTCTAAGCTTAACAAGCTTGTGGTCTCAACGCTTTCAAACGTGAACTTCTACTGCTTCAGAAAGATAAGATGAGAGCTTATTTTTTTTTGAGTGAAAAACTCAAAAAAAAGATAATTTGAGTTATAATTTTATTTGAGTTTATGTTGTTTTAAGTTTAAATTTGAGTTTATGACTAAAATTTGAGTTCAAATTTCTCCTTCAACTCGAGTTCAGAAATTCGAACTCAAATTAATGAATAATATTTTTTCTATTCTTAAAAATGCTATAACTTTTTCGTTTTAATTCTGATTGAGATGATTTTTTTTCTATGCGTTGACAACGAAAAGACGAATAAAACCCGACCCATATACCCAATTAAAATTTTATATCAACATTGAGTTTTTATTAAAATATTATCTAAATACAAATTTAAGTTTTGACTCACTCAAACACAAACTTAAAGAGATTCTTATCTCAAACCATAACTCAAATGTGTACAACTAAACACAAACTCAAGTTATAACTCAAATTCAATTTAAGAATGGGAGAAAGAAGAAAATAGACCAAGACTTTAGATGAATTAAAATTAATAAGCCAATAATTTACATAAGTTAATAAATAGGCCAAATTACTGTTTTCGTCCATAACTTGTCTGGTTATGAACCATAACTTGACAAGTTATTGTCTATAATTGTCCATAACTTGTCTGGCTATTAACCATAACTTGACAAGTTTGTTCATAACTTATCTAGTTATGAACCATAACTTGACAAATTATGGCCTATTAATTTATATAACTAAAAATTTACCTATATATTTTCTTAAGCTTTTCATATTGGCCTATTTTCTACTATTTTCCTTTAAGAATTATACTCAAGTTAAACTCTAAAAGAACAAGCTGTGAGAATTTAACCTCAAATTCCGATAAAAATTATACTCAAATTAAACTCTAAAAGAACAAGTTGTGAGAATTTAACCCCAAATCCCGATAGAGAGAGAGAGAGAGAATATAAAGAAAGAAACAAAAAGAAAAAGAAAAAGAAAAAGAAAAAGAAAAGGATTGTAAAGGGCAGCCTTCAGAATTGAAGGGCCAAGTGTGTATGTAAAATGGTTTAAAGTTGCACACACGTTTATATATCACGCACAATACTTTCTCAAGAAATTACACGGGAAAATAAAATATCTGCTTTTTTATTTGCTTAATTTCCTTCTCATGTTTGTGAAGATCACGGACCCCGAAATTGATGGTTGATGGTAGAACAATGCTAGATCTGATTAGACCTATACAACAGAAAGTACGATATATATATTTTTTGAAAAAGAAACTACAATATTTTTCTTTTAAGAACTACATTTTTTTCTTTTAAGAACTATGCTGTTTTTTTTTTTTTTTTTTGTTGTTGCTGAATAACAGATCTACAATGTTAATTTATAGGAAGTATCACTTAAAAAACAAAAATGTAATATGCTCTTAACTATCTTTTAATTAGTTTTTATTTAAGGAATCTTTTAGGGTTTTTGGTTGTTTTTTTAGAATTGTGCCTCTCTTAATTTGATTTTAAAGAGAAAAAAGGTGGTATCATGAGTTCACAAGAGTGTTTAAGAAAAACATATTTCTCTAATTACATCTCTCACTTGAAGGCATTTCTCTGTTTCTCTCTCTCCTACTTCTTTTCCCCCTTTTATTGAATAGAAATTAGAAAGCATGCACTAATGTAGATACTTGGTGGATATGCTATTCTTGGGTTGAAACATAGTGTGGTTACTGTCTTTACTCGATCATGTACTGTGCGTTACTGTCTTTACTCGTTTATTGTAGTATATTTATTTGTTTATTTTATTTAACATTGTTAAGTAGAAGTACAACTGTATACAAGTCTACAACATGATACAAGTATACGGTTCAACGTCACTTTTATGCTATTTGTTTCACAAATTTAAACTATAATTCAAACCTTTTTACTATCGGAGTAATTTTTTTTTAATAAAAATTTAAATTTATGTTCAATACGTTCCTCAAGCCAATAATCAAAAGCTGTTTTATTACGTGACAATCACTACAAGAAAAATGCGTTTTTACGATGACAAAAAGTCGTCACAAAAACCTGAATGTCGTCGCATTTTTGTGACGACATAGTGTCGTTGCAAATGTATTTGCGACGACAGTCTGTATTTGCGACGACAGGCGTCGCTAATACGTCGTTGTAAAAGTCTCGTGATATGATCATTTTTTACGACGACATTTCAAATTGTTGTCGCAAATAATCTTATTTTTTTACGACGACAAGTCTAAAAAAATCATCGCAAAAAACCGAAATTAATTTTTTTTATAATTTTTTAAAATTGCAATTAATTAATTTTTAATATTTTTAATTAAACATAAACCAGGTAATCTAAGTTCTCAGTTCTTACAATAATCTACCAAGAACGTCAATCTTATCTTTACCGCCGCCTCCGCCACCGCCACCGCCACCGCTTCCATGCCCTCTCGATCTCTGTCTATCATTTTTCATCTCCAAGTCTCTTCCTCTACCACCACAGCACATTCAATAACGTAAACCAGCATATAAATCCCTATTCATTGGTGTCGTAGAAATTGCGGGGAATCCACAACAAATTCAAAAAGAATAGTAATCAGAAACAACCTCTAACGAAAAAAGCCTATTAATTAAGCTCAGAAAATCAAAAATTGACATGAGAAACCGCCAAAAAAAAACTTTACTTTCTTCAACTTCTCTAATCTCATCGTTTTTCAGCAATAAAAACTAAGAATGAGACAATCTTTGTGAAATGAATTACAAATATTACAGAGAAAATACAAAATAAAACCTTGTATTGGAACGAGCAAAGGAGGCGAATGAATAAGTGTTGGTGCTGCTGGTATTAGCATTGTTGTCCATGGAAGTGAAAGAAGGAGAAATGGCGAGAAGAGGAAGAGGACGAGGAGAAGGGACACGTGGAAGGAGAAGAGGGCAGGAGGCGGCGACGGGCGATTCGGCGGGGCGGCGGCGGAATCCGGCCGGCGAGCAAGGGAAGAGAGGGAGAGAAGGGAAGAGAGAGAGAGAGAAGAGGAGAGAGGAGCGGTGGCGGCGGCCGGAGAGAGGAAGAAGAGAGAAGGGAAGAGAGAGAGAAGAGGAGAGAGGAGCGGTGGCGGCGGCTGGAGAGGGGAAGAAGAGAGAAGGGAAGAGAGAGAGAAGGAAAGAAAGAGAGAGAAGGAAAGAGAGAGAGAGAAGGGAAGAGAGAGAGAAGAGGGCCGGTGGCGGCGAGAGGAATAAGAGGCTGAGAGAGAGACTTAGTAGGAGAGAGAGAAAGCGTCAGGGGAAAATGAAGAGGAAGACGATAGGGTATATTAGATCAGACTTATTTCGTCGCAAATAAATTTAAAATGTCATCACAAATAATCATTATTTCCGCGTTTAGTTTTTGGTGAATTCTTAAAAAGATTATTTGCGACGACAGAGAGAAAATGTTGTCGCAAATAACATGAAATTATTTGCGACAACAAATGTCGTCGCAAATAATCATTTTTCCCGCGTTTAGTTTTTGGTGAAATTTTAAAAAGATTATTTGTGATGACAAAGAGAGAATGTCGTCGCAAATAACATGAAATTATTTGCGATGACATTTGTCGTCGCAAATAGCAAGTCATCGAAAAAATTGAATTACCTTGGCGGTAAAAATTCGCGCCATTAAAATTTGCGCTCCAAAATTATTTACGACGACATGGTTATTTTATTTAACGGTGAGTAATTGTGACGACATGTCATCGTAAATACTGTTTTATTTGTGACGACATTTGTCGTCGCAAAAAATGTCGTCGCAAATGGCATTTTTTGTTGTAGTGAATTTTGAGAAACTGTGGTATTTCTACATTAACAGCGGTGAAAAATAGTATTCTGTGGAGGGCAATGTATTCCACGTCTTGTTAACTTTAATCTCATGAAAATCAACCCTAAGATCACTTCTCTCTCCAACTTTTCCCAGCAAGAATGTCTGAACAAAGCTTCACCACATCTTCACCTATATAGCCTCCCAATTTTGTTTGAAGAAGGTGTGAAAAACACACACACACACATATATATATATATATATGTATATATAATTCAATGAAAAACTGACAATAAAATAGATATATTTGGATATTAATCTCACAATAAATAATTTGTTAGGAAGCGAGGCTGCGAAGTTCATGACTAACAGGAATCCGAGTATCCTTATAAGTCGTAAACTTTACCTCTAGCTTTAGGCTTGAGTCCTTGAGCTAAGAATTTTATGAATTAGGTCCTTAAAAACTAGTGGTAATTATTTTAGCCCGAACACTATTATACGACTCCAAATATATACACATTAATGGCTTTGAGTTTTATCATATAATAGGGGTTTGTTGTAGAGTTGATCCGCAAATTACGTGTCTAACAAAATAGTAGATGCACAAACTGTGAAATACAATTACTTTTAAAATTCAATATTTGCATACATAAGAAACGAAGAAGACATATTGTTTCACCTTTTATTGGAAGCGTATATCAAGTTTTATGCTCTTTTTTTTTTCATACCACATGATTTCTACCTCCATTTTTTCTTTCACTCTATTAATTATTTAGGCGGGAATATCAAAAAATTATAAGACAAGGGCATAAAATTAAAGAGGAGTTAAGAAGAACATACATTCCCTAATTTTGATCCCTAATGATTCTTTTATTATATAATTATATAAAATATACTATATAGTTCATGACGTGTCAACCCGTTTAATTATTGTAAGCGTATAAAGCTTCACATTCTAGCACATGTTTATCTGCCCCATAAAGACAAAATGGTGAGCACTTAGCAATAGCAAATATGAAAGTGATATCATTCCTAGTGTTATATCATATACATATGTCTATTATATATATTGACGGCTGAAACAAGAATGAATGTCCATATATCCGACACCATTAACAAGGAAAAAAAACAGAGAGAGAGAGAACAATTAATTACCACCACAAACCAACTTCTATATCTAGAAATAATAAGCACAAAATAAAATAGTATTCTTAATGGAATCATGAAAATCCCATATTATAGTACTTTCATATAGTAAGAGGCCGGCGTAACCAGCTCATCATTTCTTCATAGCAAGCAATCCGACCTTGACAAGCTCACCCTTTGTACCACCAACCTTTGTCTCTTTTCCCAAATCTTTCTCATCATTTTCTTCGTCTTCTTTCCTCAATAATTTCTTCCTTACTTTTATTATCTCATTTCTCCCAAAAAAAAAAGCTCAAATCCTAGTACAAGTACTCTACAGTTATTCCCTTTTCTATCAATAACAAAGATTAATTATGTCTCATAATAATAATTACTACAAACCCTACCAATGCCTTCTCACGTTACTCATCGTACTTCTACTACGTTCTACACCGGCATCGGCGGCGCCAACCGACGCCGAACTACTCCTCAAATTCAAGAGCTCTTTGTCGAACGCTGCGGCGCTGAGCGACTGGAACGCCTCCGTCCCTCTTTGCAACGGCAACAAGAACAACTGGTCGGGCTTGACGTGCATGAACGGGAATCTGTACGGCTTGAGGCTTGAAAACATGGGCCTGATGGGCGTGATCGACGTCGAGACGCTGTCGCAGCTGTCGAGTGATTTGCGGAGCCTGAGCGTCATGTACAACAGCTTCACTGGCGCGATCCCGCCCGTGGGACGCCTCGGCGGGCTGAGAGCCTTGTTCTTGTCGCACAGCGGATTTTCCGGGAAAATTCCTCACGATGCGTTTGAAGGTATGAAGTACTTGAAGAAAGTTTACTTGGCGAGGAATGGATTTGGTGGGAGATTGCCGAGTTCGCTTGTTGGGTTGAGTAAACTTGTGGAGTTGGATGTTGAGGGAAACCAGCTTGGTGGAAAGATTCCGGGTTTTGAGCAAAGGGATTGGAGAGTTTTGAATTTTGCCAATAATCGGTTTAAGGGACGAATACCGGCAAGCTTGAGCAAAATCGATAGAAGCGCTTTCTTGGGTACGTAAGCCTATTAATCGTGATTATCATATATAATTAATTGCCTTCATATAGTTCTAATTAGCAAAAAATGTTCTTTGCTATATAGTTCTACTTTTTTTTTTTTTAATTGGAATGACTTTTCGATATAAATGCTAGCGCTTTCCAATTACTTGTCACGAGAATTCAAATTTTCCCAGAATGTTTGTTTTTTTGACTATATAGCTCGGTTATACTCTAGTTAGATCAATATTTGTCTTCATTTTGTCATTTTGCATATGTATGTGAAGTTAATGTATACAAGCGCACATGTGTGTGTTAGTTTAGTACAGTAGAGAACAATATTTATCTTCATTTATCTCGATTGTTGGTTAATCAACTTGTGTTCTCCAGAACAATTAGGATTTCAGAGTTTGAATTCTGAAAGCTATGAGATAGTTTTTTTTTCCCTAAAATAAAAACAAAACAAAAACAAAAACAAAATTTGTAGGGTCCATTTGATACATAACAGGGCAAAGTCGAAGATTAATATGTAAGTCCACATCCATCAATTCGCTTTCTAGCAAAAAAAAAAAAAAAAAAAAAAAAAAAAACCCATCAATTCGGCTTTGAGAGACTTCCAGATTAGTCCTGGAATATGAACTTTATTTTCCAGTCCAGTATTTTCTCTTTCCTTTTTTTTTATATAAAATTTCCATTAAATCTTCTTTCCTTTTTTTATTTAATTTAACGGAAAATGGAAGATTACGTAATCAGTTATATTTCCACGATTGAGTAGTCTTCAACTATAGCTTATCTCCAACGATTTTCATGTATTACATTTATTTTTTTCTAAATTAGGATTTTGTAATTGGTACGCACGTTGGATGTGTTTTGACATATATATTGACTTGGTAGTCACAAACCAGTTGCTTACGAGTTATGAGAGACTAAATAAGAACATAAAAAATAAGATCCTGTTCACTATTATAAACTATATAATGTCCTTCCTTCCCACTATTTAAATGTTCACTTAACGATACATCTATATTCTATCCCCAAGTCTCATTTGCATACATTAACTATGCTTTTTCTTTATTATTACTTCCTGTCCATTAAATGGAAATTTTTCTTATAATTGACATTCTCATTTTATCCTACTTAAATATTTTGGTGACAATCTTTTAGCCACAGGAAAAAAGAAAAGGTAGTAATGACTAACTATATACGCGTGACATGCTCATTGTTTTAAGAAATTCATGGCCAATTACACACTCACATTATTATACATAGTTAATTAACGATATGCTCTGTCCAATTATACGCAATACTAGTATTAGTGGGTGGTCCCCCTTTTTTTTTTTTTTGCTGTTGTTCGATTAGATGTGGTCATTCATAGGACTACCACTAGTAATATTATGCACATACTTCTTTTTCAATAATCTTGAAGCCTAATTGCATGTAACGTTTGACCAAGCAGGAAATCCAGATTTATGTGGAGCACCTCTTAGCGCTTGCAAGCCCCCAAAGAAGCCATTTATTACAATAGCCATAGTACTTTCAATAGCTGCAATAATTGCCACCATTGCACTTTTTATCTTCTTCCTCCGCGCCCGCCGGGCCCAATCCCCGAACCGAAAATCGATATCCAAACATCTAGGGCAGGCCCCAAAAGTTTACAAGAAGTTTGCCCTCTGGGACACCGCCCGATCACCGGATTACTACGACGACA